AATAAAGAAACAACGAAATTAAAATCAATCTATCTAAATGAATATATATATGTTTATTTAAATGATTTAGATAATCATGTTAATCAATTAATTGATTCATTAGAGATTCAACGTGAAAGTGTTTCAATGCTTATTTCATTTTGGATAACATTAACTAGTAATGAAGTACAAGGAATATTTAAAATTCTTATGCTTATAACTGTTTTATTTATGCCATGTAACTTATTAGCTGGTATGCATTCAACAAATTTTAAAACACAACCACAATACCAATATATAAATGGTTATTATATTATACTTTCTATTTTAGCTGTGGTTCTTATTGGTATGATTACATGGTATAGAATTAAACAATGGATATAATTTTTTTCTTTTTATTTAAATAATAGACATATACATGTACATCCATTTGTCTCTAAAACGTAATTGATTTTCTATTTAATATTCAATTTATTAAAATTATTAAAAAAAAAACAGGCAAAGAAATGCTGTACAATTAAACATTCGTTTGTTTATTAGTTGTATTTGATACATTAGCATTAAGACAAAGAAGTTCTTTAAGTTCAGGCATAACTATTGTTCGATATTTTTTTTCTAATGTTACCATATATTCAATTGCATTACGCATTGAAAATCCTCGAATTTGATGACACTAATTTAATAAAAAATTAAATCTATATTGATTATTTTTTTTTTTGTTATTTAAATTTACAAACTTTAAGAAATGGTAATAAATTTCTTGATGAATGTTGATATATAATATCTTGTTGTAAATGACGAAGAAGTGCAACACAAAAATAAACTTGATAATCAATACCATAAAGTATACATACACAAATATATGTAATAATTTCTGGCCAATCTAATACAGACCAAAAACATTGTTTTGTCCAATGTACAACCATCTTTACAGACAAAAAAAAAATATCAATATTTTCTTTGTGAAAAATAAATCATTAACTTACATGAGATATAGCAAAACCTGACATACGAAAAGCAGCAAAAACTGGTGCCATTTCTTGTTCAACAATTAATTCAACACAATGACCAGAACCAACATAAACAGGATGTAAACCATTTATATTCATTTCATTACTTACAAATGGCTAAGACAAAGCAAAGAAAAAAACAATCAAATATAAATACTTTTTTTTATATAAAAGAATTAGATATAAATATATATACAGTATTAAAAAGACGTGCATGCCAAAGAAAACCAGCTGGTAAAAGTAATGAAAATGTACGTAACCATCGCCATGATCGTACATCATCACAACCCATTAAAAGAAAAATACTTGTCGAAAACCAATCAAAACCGGGATAAGC